CATTTCATCTACAAGGTAAATAAAAAAAGGTTGAGAGTTTACAATTGATTATAAAATAATAATGGATAGCAATTTATACTTATGTTGCCATATATATACCTTCTGTTGCCACAGATGAATCTTCATGTGCCACAGATTAATTTTCTGTTACTACAAATGACCATTTTGTTGCCCTAACACATAGGTGATATGTTCCAACATATGACAACTCTGTTGGAATATATACCAACATATCACTAAAATGTAACAACATACGACACATCTTTCAACAAATGAAATATATGTTGGACAACTAAACAAGACTATATTTCTAAAATCATATGAACAAAATGGTCACAAAAAGAACAACGAAAGCAACAAAAAAATGAATGTTCACTGAATTTTAACAATACATATACATTTTCTCAAAATTAGGGCTTTTTGGGTTTGTTGATTTTCTTTCAAAAACAATAAATAATAGGTACCATTACACCATTATTCAATTTTCACATCTATAGAACGATTTATTGTTCATTAACCCAAGAAAAAACTTAGTATTGTTCAAAAATTGTAAAATCTTTCAAAAAAATGACTTACCAATTTTAAGTCGAACACAATCTTCAGTTCACAAAGAGGAGAGAGTCACGGCCGGAGATGACGAGGAAGATAAGATAATGGGAGAGAATACTTGTTTTGATAGTCGGATTTTCGGATTTTCTAACAAAGAAGAAGAAGAGAAGAGAAAACATTGGGAGAAGAAGGAGAGAAAATTCTATTTTCTTTTACTTTTTTTTTAAAAATGGTTTGGATAGAATTATAAAAGTTGAAAATGAAGTGTTTTTTTGTATTTTATAATAGATTAGAAAGTTTTGAAAATGTTAATTTGGTCCCAAATTTACTTAATTACATTTTAAAGTGAATTTGATCTTTTCTTGGTCAAAGTGTCACCAAAAACCAAAGCAAGACTTAATTGACACCTTTCATTTAATTGTCTCCATTCTGTCGTCAAAACAACCTAAACCTAGCTGCATTAGTCCTCGTGAAAAATCTCAATTCTCGATTCTCTATACCCATATCCCTCATCTGCTCGTCCACTCAACCCACGAATACAAACCCAACCCGCGACTCAAGCCACTCTGCCTTTGAAATTGAAATGTAACGATCACTGTCCTTTTATCATCAACGGATCAAGTATCAAAGGAGACCGAGATTAAGAGCCCGTTTGGATTGACTTAAAAAAAGTAACTTTTTAAAGTGCTAAAACTTATTTTTAAAATAAGTAGTTATGTGTTTGGATAAAAGTGCTGCAGTTGAAAAAAAAGTTGTTGATGTGTTTGGCAAATAAGTGCTGGTAAACACTTTTTTTATCAAAATGTCTGAAATACCCTTAAAGTTGTTAACATGATAAAAAGTTGATTAATTTAAGGTTTTTATACTTAAAAAAAATAAAACATAATAAACATAATAATATTAATAAATATAATAATAATAATAAGCATAATAATAATAATAATAATAATAAGAATAATAATAATAAGAAGAAGAATAAGAATAATAATAATAATAATAATAATAATAATAATAAGATGTTAGGGTTAATTCAATATAGGCAATTTGGAAATTGTATAAAAGAATTAAGGGCAAAAAGTAATATACTTGGTCAACATAAAAGGGCTTTTAAGTTTTAAAAAAAAAACACCCCTCACCTAGCTTTTAGCTTTTGGCTTAAAATAAGTCATTTTTGACTTAAAATAAGTCACTTTGATAATTGTCAAACACTCTAATAAATCAAAAATTTGCTTAAAAATAAAAATAATTATCTGTTTCTGTTAATTTGCCGCCAAATCTATATTTGTTTTCAAGTGGCAGTTATCAATCTGTTTTTAAGATCAATCTGTTGTTAAGAGTTCTCCACTAAATCAAGCATAAAACAAACTCTATTTCTCCATTTCAATCTCTCCTTCTCTACTGCATTCTCTGTCATTTCAATCTCTCCTTCTCTACTGCATTCTCTGTCATTTCAATCTCTCCTTCTCTACTGCATTCTCTGTCATTTCAATCTCTCCTTCTCTACTGCATTCTCTGTCATTTCAATCTCTCCTTCTCTACTGCATTCTCTGTCATTTCAATCTCTCCTTCTCTACTGCATTCTCTGTCATTTCAATCTCTCCTTCTCTACTGCATTCTCTGTCATTTCAATCTCTCCTTCTCTACTGCATTCTCTGTCATTTCAATCTCTCCTTCTCTACTGCATTCTCTGTCATTTCAATCTCTCCTTCTCTACTGCATTCTCTGTCATTTCAATCTCTCCTTCTCTACTGCATTCTCTGTCATTTCAATCTCTCCTTCTCTACTGCATTCTCTGTCATTTCAATCTCTCCTTCTCTACTGCATTCTCTGTCATTTCAATCTCTCCTTCTCTACTGCATTCTCTGTCATTTCAATCTCTCCTTCTCTACTGCATTCTCTGTCATTTCAATCTCTCCTTCTCTACTGCATTCTCTGTCATTTCAATCTCTCCTTCTCTACTGCATTCTCTGTCATTTCAATCTCTCCTTCTCTACTGCATTCTCTGTCATTTCAATCTCTCCTTCTCTACTGCATTCTCTGTCATTTCAATCTCTCCTTCTCTACTGCATTCTCTGTCATTTCAATCTCTCCTTCTCTACTGCATTCTCTGTCATGGCTATTACCATTCTTATACCGGACGCTTCGATTTTCCTACATGCTATTTTGGCCATTTCAAACTTTGCTGGTCTAAAGCTATTTCTATGGTGGAACCGTTCAAGGTTTACTCTATCTGCTGATGGCCTGATCGGTGGTAGAATTTTTCTAGTTCTTGAAGGAAGACAGATTTATCTGTCTTCAGATGATGATCTTTTCTTGTGCGAAGTACTTGCCACAGACTTCTTAAGTCTTTTTGATGATATTTCCCTAAATTTTCGATCATTTTTGGCTATAGAAATTGATCACGACACCTCTTTGATTCTTGCGCCTACTGAAGTTGATAACTGTTTCCTCACCATTAGAGTGGTACCTCAAGAAGGTATATTTCCGTATATTTTGTTTTTGTTATTAAAAAGGGAGGAGGTCAAAATAAGAAGCTATACCCTAGTAATTTTCTTTTCTTTGCAACTTTGCCATCTTCTGGTTTTACTTTTAATTCCATATTATTTTCAGGTGTTGTCCGTCGGATGGCAATTGGAGGTCGATCAATGATTGTAGGACCTCTTTTTGAGTATGTTTTGGGAGACAACTCTTCTTTTCAATTACCTGTACTGGAGTATTGGCGAACTGTATACATTGTCCGCAATAATATCAGACATGGTAAGTTATAAGTACTCTTAGTAAATAAGGGAAATTTATGTAGTGTTAGCTTGAACTTTTTCTATCCTTACGGCTGTATAAGTAGATTTAGCTTGAGCTTTTTCTGTTCTTAACGAACTTGCAAATGGACTTCCATATTTTAGAGAAACTCTCTTCGTTATGGCTTTCTTTTCTTTGTTAAAAAAGTGTTATGTGTCCTATTGTGTTTTAAATAAACTCTTTACTTTTGCAGTTCGTGTGATTCTGCGAGCTACTGAAGTCAGCTTTGCAGCTGAAAGTTTTTTGAGCCTTACAACTGTTGCATACTCCCGTTTTTTAACAAGGGTAAGTGTTTACTATAACCTCACCTCCTTCACATTACGGGGATTTGGGATCTTTGGTACCAAAGTAATGGTTGTACAGTTACCTTCAGATTCTGTAGTAATCCCCCAGCTCCAGGATCTAGCATAATTTGATGGGTTGGTATTGGTTCACTAGTCACTGTTGCTACTACCGGAGAAACAATGGTTACCCCCCCCCCCCCCCCCCG